ACACACACACACACACACACACACACACACACACACACACACACGCACAAGAGACGCATTTTTTATTCAAAAATTGTCCCCGCAGGTATATGCACATGCTTCAACACGTATACCGCTCGAAGAATTTTACGAAACCAAACCAATACATCAAGTGCTTCCATAATCCGGAACGAGTGGTCACTCTGCACAACCATTTTCCGTTGGCGTGCTTGGGCGCCGGATGCACCAGTTACCCCATTGAGACCGAAGATGCCCAGCTACAGCATTATCGCGCCGACTGCGTTCGATCGCTGAAGAAAACCTGCGTGGAATATCGGGAGAACAGCGTGATAGACACGACGATATGGCGTTACAGAGATAAACTGATCAGCAGGGTCACCGACACCCTGAAGACGCTCGGCTTCTTCGGCCCGAGATAGCGTTGGAGATTGATCTCTCCTTTTTCTTATTCTCATTTCTCTCTCCCATGAAGATTTGATCGGTCGCCGCGGGAAGAACGAAAGAATGGGTGTGCGCGGGACGAGAAGCGATGAATCTATCAGCGGGAGGTAATTGCCGGTGGGACTTGATCAGAGATTTAATCGAACAGATAATCGGGATCGGTGTAACCGGTAAAGTGGATCCGTTTCTAGTGACAGCGTAATATCGCATCTTATATTTCTATGTGTTGTCACATGCGCGTGAGAGAAGAGTGTGGATCGGTAATTTCTGTCTGATAATAGCGTTACAAATATGCATATCAGGTCTTGAACGACAAAATATTTTAGCCTTATTAAACGCAAGAACGTTATCGAGATTGGAATGATGATCGTTTGTAAATTAATATAGATGTCATCGTATCATCTAAAGTAGAATAGCGTATATAAAAAACGGATTAGCATCAAAGTTAAGTTTTCATTTGATCCACGCATATTTCTCTATTTTTTTCTTTTCAAGTCAAAGTTGACTTGTTAAATCTAATAAGAAATTTTCAAGTAAATCCATCTTCTAGAACTAGATGTTACAATTAGCGAAACAAAGTCGCAAATAATTTATATGAGAAATTATTAATGCTCAATTTATGCGAGTCCCATTAACACATAATTTTCGGGCACCCACACTGCCCGCGAAACGAGAATTGTCTCGAGGCCGAGCGTAATTGCGGTTCGATTTGTATCGATAACGAAACGCAAATTTTCGAATGGCAAATCGATCGACCGGATTATGTTTGCGATTATGAGAAAACTGCAGTATTCTTCTTCCTTTTTTGTAAATAATTTCTCTTAAGTCTTATATATGCTCAATATATGTAATACCAAGTCTGCGATTGATCGATAGCCATAGCTATAAGTGCAATGTATCGGTAAACGGATTACATTCGGTCTTGTGTGTAATTTTAAATTTAATAAAAGTTAAATTGCGGACTTTTAAAGTTGTGCTTTAACAAAGAGTATAAAAAATTTATATATATATACATATATAAAACAAAGTTGCAAGATTATTAGTTACATTATAAGTGCATTACATGTCGAAAATATATTTACAACTACGGTAACATATATGAAAATTTTCTTTTTTATTATTTAATTTAATGATTGAGAATATTTGTTTTGGAATGGTGCTAAAAAGTATCGACCACTGTTCCGACGACTGAAATGCTGTGAGGTGTATAAGCATCGATATTAAAGACTACTTTTAACGAATCTTCCGCAGTCGCGAAGCGGCTTTGATCTTTGTAGATTTTTGGAATAGAAATCAAAAGTTCAATTGCTGTCATATTTGATAAGCGAGGAAATAAATAAACATAAATAAAATAGAACGGAATACAACGAAATACAGTCATATACATGATCATATAGTATATTATAATATTATGTTCTATATCTCAATGTGTTTATTTTAATTTTAATTGGCGGTATAAACATTAAATTGTTCGATATATCATGGCATGTATTCTTTAATGAGAATATGACGAGTATGATTGTTTCTCAGTCTCGCCAATTGGTTTTAACCGCTTCGTGATTACGAAGACCTTTCTTTCTTATGGTGAACCTCGATCGCTTTCTACACAATAAAAATTGATTGCTTTTTACTATTCGACATAAAATTCGTCGCTTGTAAAAGCCAGAGGGCGATTCACGTTTCACCATGAGATATATCAATATAAAGGGACCATTGTAAATAAGAGTCAATAAGAGACAGAAAAGTTGATTCGCATGAAGATGTCTGTACGCGAGAATAATATTTGTTAAAGCTTACGTGGGCAGTTTTTTATGTTGAAACATTGCGGATAAAATGATGTCTTTTATCTTCTCTTATTAAAATTATATAAATTGAATAAAATTTTGTTTTTATTTACACATAACATATTATTATGTAGCAATATGTTTCACGCATACGCCCACAAGAGCAAGTGCTTTAAGTATTAATATTGATTATAAATATGGCTCAGAATAAAACAAATTAAAATAAAATTACATTAATCAGTCGACCCCAATTACTTAAAAAGACAAGTATTCTTCAAATTTAACTGGTGATAAAAGTAGAATGAGTTTCTCGTACAATCAATATTCATGTGCTGTTTTACACGATAACAATTTTTTGTTTGCTGTAATAATCCTTTGATATGTGTCTTCAAGATATCTGTGTTTGTAAGATAATAAATTAAATTACAAGGAGATATAAAAAAATACCTTACTTATGTATCTCTAAAAAAAACCTGTATTTATTATTAACTTTATTAGTATTAGCTGCGTAAATTTTTTTTAAGGTGAATAACAATATCGTTTTAAAATGTGTTCGCTTTATCTTGTTGCGATTGGCATTAGTGTCATTTGAAATGCCTGTTGACTTATCGCGCGTGTGTCCAAATTGTCGGATGTTATCACAGCGTGATGAGTCAGCACGCCGCTCGACATGCGACAGGATAATCGATGGCGATTGCAATATAAGCTCCCATCAACCCAGACAACAATGTATATGATACCGAAGGAGAGAGACCTCAAAACGCAACTACAAATATCCTATTTCCTATTAATCAACGAGTCGTTCGTTTTATTTGTCTGAGTTTCCAAAGATATTTTAATAATATCTCTCGAGACATAGCGCTACAATTTTCGAAATGTAAGAATAATTTTATGTAAATAAATTTGTATGTGTGAAGAAAGAGACATCAAACGAAGCCCTGGTCACAAATGAGAATTTGCAAACAAAGAAAATTATATCGCAAAGTACATCAAACGATATGACTATTTAAATGCAATTTTAATTAAGAATATATGATAGATTGATGTACTATAAATAGTATAACTTTTTTATCGTAAACAATTTAAAGTTGTTATTTATTAACGCTGAGCTAAAGTTATTTAATTTATATTTCAATTGTATCACATAAAAGAAATATTTTAAAGAAGTTTTCAGATTATTATATTAATGAAAATTTTTAATAAAAATATATATTTTCTATTTTCGCTCTTCTAAATTCTCATTCGCATATCTCGCATTGCCGACTGGCAATATTGCAGAATATATAGGATTCCTTAATTTCGAATAAAATATATAGACACCGATAAATAAGGTGACTGTAGATAACCGAATAGCCTTCCGAGGGTATACGTTTTGCCAATCGATCTCGTTATTTTCCTATTGTCAACAAGAAATCTAATTTAATGCAAAATCTTTACATTGCATATAAAGAAAGTAAACTATAATACTTCTTTTTTTCTTCTTTTAAAAAACAAAATTTTATGATTATAATTTTAGCAAATACATATACATATATGAAAATTTTTGTCACTTTATACTTTTAAAGACGCCTTACATAGTCGATTTTCAGAGAAAGGTTTTTATATTTGCCTTTGATTTTTCAGTGATTATTTCGAGTTTTGATGATTCGCAGAGGCGCGTAATTCTTTAACAAAGGCAAAACTATTATAGAATATATATATATGTATTTTTGTGTTAACACATATCCGCGTGCGTTGCGCTCATCTCATCGATCCCGTTTTTCTCTGCAAATAGCCGTCACTAAAAATAAAGCGTCTTCCCTGGTCGTTGGTTTCGTGGAGAATCGCGTTGCGCAGTACTCCTCTGTGTGCTTTGCCCGAGACCGTCGCCATTCGCCACGAGCGGATTTACATGATCGGCGGCCTCATGTTTATTCATGTAACCTCCGCATAGTCATATTAATACACGCCGCCACGATAATTACCAATGCCGGACGTACATTCGCTTCGGCGCGGCGCGGCACGGCGTCCATCGCGCGACGGTCACATAAGCGCGATGTCGCATTATTCATCAAAGTATTGCATGTGTACCTATACATATATTATTGTACGTCATAATGCAATTCTTCAATCTCCTTTTTACGATAATCTATTATAAAAATTCTAAAGGTGTCCATGTCCGGCAAGTCCCGTTAAAATTAAATGCGAGAAAAAGTATTTGATCATATAGATGGATCGGCGTGCGCGCGGTTACCACCTTCTCCGCGGCCGCCTCGTTTTCCGAACAAAATTTCGACGCCGGCCGGGATAAATTTGGAACAACCGCCTTGCGGATGTAACTCAACTACGCTCCACGTTTTCAGCCTTAGTTTCGTGTCGAGGGCATGCGAGAGTCACACGCGTTTTCTTATGGCAGAAAACACTATCGGATATTTGCGAGTGAACGAGGAGTTTATGCTGTGTCCATGTTGAAAGATCCTTCGTGACTCTAAAGAATTGTCCAAAGATTTGAAAAAACGATCGAAAGAGTTTTATCTTTCGTGACTGTGTGGTTGCGATTAACTGCAGTTATTAGCAGCCCTGATGTAACAACTTTAAACACTTTAAATTAAATAGTTACCGTGTTTGTGTGTTTGCGTTTGGTATATTTTTTTACAATTACACTACAATATCTCATTTGAATTTTTAATTTCCATTTTTTGTTTCATTATTCTCATATTTCAAAGTTAATATTTCTTTAACAAGCATTTAATAATTTCCCGAGTGATTAAAATAATCGCGAGCTTTGGCGATGTAAATATTAACAAAATTGTGTTATTTAATTGTATATACATTATACATATAAAACTTCAATTTAAAATTGAATTGTTTAGAAAAAAATCTCTATCTTCATAGACTCTTATTAAGTTAAAAATTATCTTAATATTTTTAAGAAAAAAAAATTAATGGAAACAATCTGAGAACAAATTTTTTTATTGATTTTTTTTAAACTTATGTATTTTATTATACGTCTAGTACGAATAAATCACCGTGTTCACAATAGTGATTACATACATAAAAAAAAGAGAATAAAAACGGGATGAGAGCGCCGATTTTTCCAATATCTCATATTTTATATATTATATCTCATATATCTAATATATAAAATATATAAATTTAAAAAAAATTTATAATAAAACTTTCTATACTGCATATTTATTTTCAAAAATATAGGTATGTGAGGAAAGTATTTTGTGGGAAAAATATATTTTTCATTTAATTGTTTGAATATGTAGGTATCTATAATATAATCCAACGTTGTAGTTTTAATATGTACATTCATGGTTATTTATTTATGGTTATTCAACATATCATATTCGCGACGCAGGAATTCAGCACGAGCAAGAAAAGTTATTTAAGAGGTTTTCCGATTTTATAGCCTTTCCTTTTTTCATTTATCAGAAAATCGAGAATTAATGCAATATTTACATGCTCTCTCTCTCTCTCTCTCTCTCTCTCTCTCTCTCTCTCTCTCTCTCGATATATTTATAAATTCTATTTCCTTGAATTTAGATTCGCAACGATTACTTCCCTTTATACTTACATCACTCATCAATATCCAAATTATATCGATCGGTTTATTTTTAAACAAATGTTGGATAGAAATATTAAATTCGACAACAACATCAATAAATTCATTTATACGTGGGATCAGAGGGAAAATCTAATTATTAGCAATTAAAGCTAAGTGACGAAGGTAAAGGGTAAAGCGCGGTTTCGCATTCGCTATGTAAATGGAGAATGGAGAATGGAGAATCTAATAAGAGGATATACCTAATACCCGCGATCTAAAGGAGGCAACTGGCAAGTAGAAAATGCCGCGCGCGCGAACGGAGGTGTTCGACGTGATGGAAGTGGAGAAACCGTCGAGGTGCATCAAGTTCCTCCGGCTGCTATGGAAATTCAGCAGATGCGTCTTCTCTCACGTGACACTAATCTCCTTGGTGGTTGCTTATTGTCTAATCGGCGCATATGCCTTCGAGTCACTGGAAGCGAATCACGAGAGGGAGGTAAATTGTGAGACTACTAGTAAATATTGGGAAATTCCTTAATTCCTTTTTCTAATTGTAAATTGTAAATTGTAAATTGTAAATTGTCAATTAAATATATAATATTTATCGCGTAATTTCATTGTGGATCAAAATTTACTGGGACAGAAATTGATTCGACACCGAAAGAAAAAAGGATACAGAGTACAGACAAATAGTTTCTCCCACGTCAAATATCCTACGCTCGTATGTCAATGAATTATTAACTGTCGCCGAGCGTCGCGAATGTCGCGATGCCGAGCAATGCCGAAATTGCCGAGTAAGCGCATCGTTCTTTACCTGCGCTCTCTTCGCTCTCTTCGCAGGTGAAGAAGAGCATCAAAAATATACGAGGGAACGTTTCGGAAAAGCTATGGGAAATTACCAAGGATTTTGACGTGTTGATTCGCAAAAATTGGACGGAGCAGGCGTTGAGCGAGCTGAAGGTACGTCTTTTGTTTTTTCCACCATAGTTTTTGTTAGATCCATAGTTAGACCATAGTTTTTTAGCTTTTTATCTTTGTAAAACGACTAAAACGGAAGGATATGAGATTTACGAGCATTTATTATTTTACTTCTACAAGACTACAAGATAACTCCACAAGTCATTAGAAAAGTAACACGCAAATGCAAAATGTTACTCTTTTTATGTTAAATTTGAAATTTGATACGATTTGACAGAAGATTATTTGTTCACGAATAATGCGCAATGCAGAAATTCGAGGATTGCCTCCTGAAAAAAATGGAAAAGGAAGGATGGGATGGCAGCGAAGAGGAGGATGATATTCAATGGACATTTGCCGGTGCTCTGTTTTATTCCATCATCGTCATCACGACGATTGGTGAGTCGATCGAAAATTTTAATACTCGCAAAATTGTTGGCACGGCCGTATAAGATATTAATAAACGAAGACAAGTTAATGGAAAGTTTTGTTTTCTAATTGGAATACTTGCTGTACGTATTGTTCGAAAATTTAATCTTTTATCATGCGTCCTATGTCATATGAATCAATAATTCGGAGTAATTTATTCTTTAAAAAAGCAAAAACTCATTTGTTCAGAATTATTTTTACCAATTAAGGTGAGAATCTTTAAAGGAAGAACGATGCACATTTCATATAAGATAAGATAAATTCGAAATTACTATAAAATTACTATAAAATTTACAATGCAATACATTTATAGTTTACACTTGCAAATCGTACATGTAGTTTAACTTAAATTATTAATGCAAAAAATATTAATTATTAACGCAATTAACAATAAGTTTGTATTAAATTCTCATTTAATTGTGTGTCATATAATCGCTTAGTGAAAAATGTAAGTATATTGTGTATATATATATATATATATTTTCTATATATATATATATATATATATACATATGTATATGTATTTTTGTATGGTATGTATGTCTCTCCACATACTTATATCTCTATCACATCTTTGGCATCACCATTGAGAATGAAGAAATATCGAGAAAAGATGTTTCGATCGACAAGAATCTGCATGCTTATTTACTTTTCAGTATTTTCATACGTCTCCGACTTCTCGTTCGTCTGCGTTTGATTCTTGCCCAATGACCTCTCGTAGATGACATAATCGTCGAGTTCCGGATCGTAGCCATTTGGCCGTAACGACCCGAATTCATTGCGATGGCCATAACCGCCGCTATACGGTCCTGAGTAATAGTCACCGAAAGACGGATGTTGGTAGCCGCCGCCGTCGCCGCCGCTATACGGTCTTCGATTGCCGTAATAATTCGATGGCGCAAAACCATTCGGCCTGTACTTGTGCGGCATATCCTAGGAATTATTATTATTTAATAGACGCGATACACGAGCATCGCAGGAAAATGTCGAATTACGTAAATAGATCAAACCTGGATTGAAAATGAAAATCAATAAAATGGCAATAAATATTTTTCTTTAACTTGGCCAAAATGATGATATTTTAGAAAATATAATTTGAATATATGAAATATATGAGACAGAGCTCGTTAAATATACTCGTATATCTATATATTGGGAGTACATCAGTATTGTTTTTGGAAGTGCATGAATAGATTTAAACTCTTTTCGTTACAGGATATGGGTAATGATGCCCTCCCAGCCCTCCAGACAATCCTGGGAATCTTTTGCTGTTGAAACAACAGTACTTCTTCTCTCTCGCGCAGTGGCCCTAAAATCACCATATGTTAAACGTTAACGTTAAACCCAAATTTCATCAAATTTTTTGGATTTGCGAATTTTCGCGAGCAAACCCACGAACTTTCGATCAAACTCACGAATTTCAAGCCGGGCGATGGACAGTTGAAACTATATCTGCATTTGCAAGTGTCGAATTCGCGATAACGGGGGTCGTTTCTGACCCATGGTGGTACTGAATCCAAAATATCGTCGTGTCCGTTCGGTTCGAAACGAGCAGGTCTGAAATATATCATGCAATAGTGTGTCTCTACATTTTCTTACATTAAAAATTAACAGCTACATTTACTAACGCAACATTTACTTTGGAAAATAAGTTTTTAATTAAAGAATAAAAAACCGAGTCGATATACGTAAGAGCGTTTAACCGCGTAATTGACGTATGATGACGTATGATGACAGTTTGAGGAGAAGTAATTCAACAACGAAATTTTATATATAAAATACATAAATCTAATACAATTTATGAAAAGTATATATGTATATATGTATGTATTGCTGATAAGTTAGCAGCCCGGGAATATGAGCTATTTCTCGTGAAATATTGTTCGCGGCTGGACCGTGCCTCGTACGCGATTAAATGTACGAATGGGGATATCTATAAATTAAGCGATCTCTGTGAAGAGGTGACGCTATATATTTTAATCGGATCATTGGAAATTTAATATAGAACAAGCCAGGAGAGTATATCGGTCGACGGAAAATCCCAATTTTCCGAGATTAATGAATCTGCTTGAAAAATGCGATTTAGCTGGCAGGGACTCTGATGAGATTACGTATATATCGTGCCGGATCGCACAATATTTTTAAATATAGTCTTGACAATTTTGAAAAGTTAATTAATCATCCAATTAATTAATAGTCGCGCATAAACGCGAAATATTTAAAAGAAGAAATATTTAAAAGAAGGACTGCTGTTGCAAACAAAATACCTGCCAATTATTCCCGTTGGTCCACCGGGACCCACGAGAACACCGTTATTGCCTTGGTACGCGGGCGCCGCCGGTATCAGCGGTCTGCCGTTGGGACCGTAAGGGCCTGGATTCTGAGGTCTAAATCCTAACTGAATGCCGTTGTCGAAACTATCCAAATGCTCAGAAGGCTCCTGTACCTGATATCTATAAAAGTTGAGCCCGCGTGAGAGAAGCTATGCCGTCAAGTATCAAGCATGCTACAATAATTATAAGCTACAAGTACCCGATTCCTTTAAAGCTGATAGTAAATTCGGATTAAACAGATTAAAAATTAAAGTATTAAATATACCTATAATTAATAAATCAGATTGACAACACACCTGGCATCGCCGTCTCGGCTAGTTTTTTGTTTATCATCATTCCATGTCCAAGATTCATCATTTTCAGCGGTTGCCGTCGCGATCGTGATGAAAAAAATAAAAAAAAACGCGCGCATTTTTATCATCCGCCGAGTGGCAGAATCAAAACGATACGTCTTAACGCAATACGTCTTGCAATTAGTTAATATTGCCAGAAAAGAAAGACGTACGGCCGCGCATAACATTCGACGTCGACTAAATGAGAGTGAAAGTGAATCACGTCTTTATATGCATAGCGGGAAGGTGAACGCATCGCTACGTTTCGAGGTCTTTTCGAATGATAATCATCTGCGATCAATGGACTGTTTTCCTTTGTTTCCATGCTAATCCCAAAAATTCGGCTGCATCATGCAACACGCAATATCGTACTTTAACTTTAAAATAAGTTATTCTTGATAAAAATACAAATTCAAAAATTTACGCGTTTATTAACACTGATAACGTGTAAATTTTAAATTATACACATTTATAAACATTGGTAATATTTTAATAATTGATATTTCAGATTTGTACCTATAATGTCAATTATTATATGCTACTATTCGTAATGGGATAAGAGGATTACGGTTTTAAAAAAATTACTTCTGTCTTATAATCTTCTACGATCAATTATCCAATTGGAAAAAATTTATTTATGAAATGCATGTTTTAATCACATTACATTTTTTTTCTTAGAGGGTATCACCAGCGAACCATTTCTTTAAATTCTTAGCTTTCTTTTAAATTTTATGTTTTCTTAAAATAATTCTTATTTTTGCCTGCTATTGCTGATTTAATTTGCAACAGTCGTGATCTTTTCAATGCGCGAGATGTGTACGTTACAAAAGAAAAACACACACGTTGCAATCTTTCTTTAAAATAAATATTCTATCTTTTGCTAGGAACATTTGTTTGGTTTTTATTCATATTTAGTAGAAACTAACGTCGCTTCAACGTGACATTTCAATTTAACATGAGAAGAATATCTAAAAAACAACCTTAATTTCTTTTGTAAAAGTAATAATTCAGTTTTTTTGTTGCTTAATTTAACGGTAAGTAAAATATCAGCATAAATAGGTTTAACAAAATTTAACCTAGACTAAATGAGATTTGCCGCAGCAAACCCAATCGCAGCGAAATTACAATGTAGTACAGCCTGCACATAGTAAATTTACAAGCGTAACGTTATTACGCGATATAGCGTGGATGGATCCGGTAGGATTTTGAGGCCGATTCCGCTCCTTCGAGCGCCCGTCCTTCAAACTGGGAAAACCCAGTTCTTCGACTCCGAAGGAGAGAAGCCGCTTGGTTGATCGCACTAGTACGCGCTCTTTGACCTCCTTCTTAAAGTAAAATCAAGACACATGGCGTAACGTTCATTCCTGCGTCTTCGTCTCGCTCGACAGCGAAATTACCACCATTAGAGATTTTTTCAGCCTTCACTTTTGAAAAATACATCCTTCATTAAGTTATATTTGCTCACGAATCCGCATAAAGTGAGAAAGAGATGGATCACTATTTTCGCTATTTAACTTAAAACGAATTAGATAGAATCAGTTTATGAATATGTAAAAAATAAAAACAGAATAATATTTATTTACAATATTAATATTATTAGCAACAGAAATATTTTCAATAAACTATCTTGAAAATATTATATAATTTTCTATCACTTAACAAACTAATTCGAATGTAGATGTGCATAGATTTGCATTTCTATAAGGAAAGGACAAACGTGTCAAAACAGAAAACGCTCTTATTTCGTGGCTGCTTTGAAATTCATTCCTGGAATGGCATATTTTATTACTTTTATTACGAGATTAAACACGAGACTTTAAAAACGGTGGAATTTTATATTCTGGAGCAAAACAGCTACAAATAAACTAACAAATATGCATTTTTTATGTAAACTCTGAATATGCAAACTGCAAACTGCTCGCGGATATTTCAAGAATTTATAGAAAAATTGAATTCAAACTGTTGAGAACTGACGATCATGAATTGTTAGTAAATCTAAGAGAAAATCTATAATTCGATTAAGTGACCTCTTTCCAAGCGAGCTTACTAGCTAAAGGCGTTAAAGGTGAACGATGCTCGATACTTTCACTCGTTTAGAACATGTTATGTCATTTTCTACTGCAACACATATTACATGCACAGATATATATTTTTAGATATTTTATTTCAAGTTCAAATTATAAATTCACCATCATCACCATTATCGTCATTATCAGTTATAAATTCAATTATAAAATGTAGGCGGATTAAATCTACAATTTTGGAGAATAGAAAAATTAAAAGGGAATAGAAAACATAAAAGAGATTGATAGAAAATAATATCAGCAGTGATAAAAGAAATTACGTATATAAGTATATATAAATAAGAAACAATATATAATAACAACAAATAATAATAACATAATTTGTGGGTATTTTTAAAAACTAAATACTTACGATTTAAAAGAAAACTGAGACTGACAAGAACGCTATATTTTACTTTAATTTGTTTAGCTTTCTTCTTCTACCAAAGTATTTTTAAATAAATATCTCCAAAATGCAAAATTGAATCAAACACTGTAATCTTTCGAGGATTAAAAAAATATTCTCACTACTTTTTGAAAGAAGCTTGCTGTATGAATTCGCGATATTTCACTTCCGGTCTCACCGGAAAAAACATTTTCTTCGCTTTTTTAAATTCATTTCCTGACACGTGATCTTTTTTTAAGTAATTTCCTGCTTTCGTAACTAAGATAAAAAATGGCGTACTTTTGACCGTTCCTCGCGTTCCTTTTGGCCTGCTTGTCAATCTTATCACGGAATAGAAAATTAGGAGAGCTAACTTATATATATATATATATATAATCATATTTGCGATATTATTTTTTAAATATTAAGTATATGTGTAAGTGATCTCTGATTATCGTGTTATGTTTGGAAAGTTATTATAATGGGTTGTACTACTATTTCAAAGAATCTGTTTCAAACAAGAAATTGATATTATTGATGTCCGAATCGAACGTCAATGTATTCTCTCTCTCTCAATCTCAGAACCATGGAATTTCCTGTTTACAATTGCATAAAAAATTAGTTTCAGCGATATTAGACGTGACTTGTCGATAAGAAATCGAGTTTCATTGAAATTTTTAACAGACGAACGTTATCCTTATCACGATTGAACCAACTAATCCTTCGACAATGGCAAAAATTAATTTCTTCGAAGTTGCTTGGCCCTCGTGATCGTGTCAGGCAACTTCCTTTTTCTATATTTTTTCCTTTTCGAATAATTTCCTGCCATCGACCTATTTCTCATCTCTTTCCGCTATCCTCTTCTTCCCCCCCTTCTCTCTCGGTTTTTTTCTTCCCGTCAGAATAAGAATGTTACATTGCTCAGGATTAAAAAAATGAAATGGGGAATAAAGGTGAGATCTCGCATATAGAGTGGATCGAGTGAGCATGCGAGTAGATCGTAATGTCTTTTTGACATTTTGGGATTCTCGGAGACTTTATGTATTCACTATGAGAAAACGGAGTTTTTACTTTACATATAGGTACTCTTGTTCAGGATACTTTCCCATCCTGGTTGCATACGGTTGCATAGTACCACATAGTACGGTTCTGCACCTAAAATTTATATTGTATGCGAGGAAATTCTTCTTTTTTGATAGTTGTGATAGAGAAAGAAGTTTCTATTATAAACATGACTATTTATAATTGAACAAAATCAGATGAAGATACTTATTATTTAAATACAATACTTATATCGCCTCATCATAATTAAATGTCATAGAAAGAGCTGTTCTTCACTCCAACATTTTTTATCGCGCAAAGTCGTGAAATCAATCCTGCTCAAGAAGCGATCCAAATTGCCTTCGTCGCACATTTTGCTGTGGGATCGTACGTTGTGATTCGTTGTGACAAATGGCTTCTTTGGGGTAAAATTACAAAACTGGATCGCCGTTTCGCTATTAGTGGAGAGACTTATTATAGGTGCATTTTGACTAGACTAGGTTTCTTGCAATAGACAACTTCCATCAATGAGGAATTAACAGAATAACATAATAAAAAGATCGATAGAGTTTATCCCGTTTAATTTGGAAATGGTAGACATTTTCTGATATTTCGTACAGAGAAGGGGGAGGTCGTAGTTATATATGTATAAAATAAATTAATTCTGTTCTTATATATTATTTACCTCATTGCATTTCAAATAACGGTTTTGAGATTTGCATAATCAAAATCATTTAAATAATTTGGATTTAAAAAGTAGGTAACATTGACCTACTTCGGATAATTTAATATCACACAGGCTTTATCATATTATTATTTTATTTACAAAAAATATCGTATTTTAAATAGAAAATATTTATTTCTCAAAATTTTCAATATTTTTCAATAATATTGTTCGACACTTTAGTACAACACATCTCATTATAAAATTATTTTTTATATTTTTTCTACAGGACCTCCATAATACACTTTCTCGGTATTATCAGACATTTTTCACATAGTTATATTATTACACAAATTAAAAAATTTAAAAAACTATGTATACATTTTTTTATTATCCTTAATTTAATAATAGAGAAATGTGAATTATTTCTAATAATTAATTTTAGAAAATAGTTATAAAATATTCGATAACCGGGAATGCAAATCACGCTATCAAATAATGGGTCTTGTGTAACAGACGAAATAGTTTTCACGTATCATCGATAAGGAATCTCGGCGACCTTGACCCAGACTTGTAGATGAAATTGCGAGACTGTGCGAAGCCTCGAAAAAAAGATTCAAGGCCGAGGCGAGTGC